CCTCTCACCCAAGGGCCCTTCTCGGATGGTTTTTGTGTTTAAAATAATTGAGATGTTTTTGTTCTTTATTAACGTGAGTTAAAAGCAATATAAAAGTATAATTTGACAAAATTTTCTCAATACTTTTTTTTAATAATCCATTTTTTTGTTATCACTATTGAAAACGTGCAGAACAGGACATCCCCAGTCCAGCCACTGCTGTGTGACGGTTTAGTGGCACCTATGATGTTCTGTGAGTGGCGCAGCTGTTGTCGCCCTCCGGGTGGTGGTTTTTTACTCTGACCCTGTACCCCCGCTGTTCCTGTAGAGAGGAGCAGTGTTGGGCCTCTTGTGGGGACCCGCTGTTGTCGAGGCCTCTGTTCTAGAGCACACCTCTAGCAGCCTCAGCAGTGACTGAAAATGATACTCGTGCTGAGAAAGATTCTGGGCGGCCCCCATTCAGCCCATTGGCCCCAGCGGGTGTGGAGGAACCCGCATGCACGCTCCTGGGGTGTTGGTGCCAGGCTTGAATCCTCAGTCACCAACAGTGCCTGCCCAGCCCCTGCTCTTGTGTTGATGCTGACTCGTAGCCACCACGTAGCACAGGGCAGAACTGCCCCTAGGGTTTCCGGTGCTGTCACCATGATGCAAGCGGGCTGCCTCGGCCTTCTCCTGTGGGGCAGCTGGTAGGTTCAAACCTCCTGCCTTTGGGCTGAGTGCTTAAAAGTGTACCACCAGGGCTCCTTCCCATAAAGATGACAGCCTAGGAAATCCTAAGGAACAGTCCTACAAAGTCACTGTGAGTCAGAGTAGACTTGATGGCACCCAACTACAGCAGTCTATATAATATACATTGTGTATGTGTTTATCTGTATTTAAACACATCTACATCATGTTGTTATCATGTGCCGTCAAGTCGGACCCAACTCATAGCGACCCCTCCTTGGGTTTCCGAGGCAGTATCACTATGGAAGTAGATTGCCCCATCTTCCTCTGAGGAGTGGCTGGTGGGTTTGAAACGCCAGCCTTCCGGTTAGCAGTCAAGTGCCTTAGGCACTATGCTACCAGAGCTCCCAAACATATCTACATATTTATATACACAAAAAAAATGAAACCCACCGCCTTCGAGTCAGTTCCAACGTGGCGCCCCTAGAGGACAGAGTAGAACTGCCCCATAGGGTTTCCAAGGCTACCATCTTTCCAGAAGCAGGTGGCCGTGTCTGTCTCCTGAGGAGAAGCAGGTGGGTTCAGACGACTCACCTTTCAGTTGGCATGCTGAGCACTTTAACCACTGTGCCACCAGGACTCCTTCAACACCTCCCAATACCAGAGCTTTCTCTGCAAGCAGCAGCACTGCAATACCGGGCTCCAGCCCTGCATGTACCTTTGGGTTGACTGCAACCTGCCAGTGGACGACTTTGTCACACAAAGACACTCCTGTCAAGTGAACATCTGTCCCTGCTCACCAAGTCCACTCAGACCCAGTGTCCCCCTC